AATGCGTACTTGTTTATATTCCAATAAATTGCTATATTTATAAGTGTAACATATTAAATTTATTTTCTATTATGACTAACTTAATTTGACGATATAAATATGTTGCTAAGCATAAAATTTGAAGATGTATATTTATAAAGATTGGTCAAAGTCTAAAGAAGGTACTTTTAGGTTTCTTCTTTTCCTATAAAAAGTCCTCCAGGTCAAGTTAAGCTATAAATTCATAATATGTATGCGTCTCTACTATTATTTTTCTAATGAACCATTTGTCTCTATTAATAAAATAAAAACGATCTCTGTTGCGTAAATATCTCACATTAAAGGAGTAAACACAAAATAGGATTGTTTTTTTATAGAGTGCCGACAATTGCCGATATTGCCCCTCATACATAAATATTGACGTTATGTTTTTGAGTGAAGTAATAAAATCTATATTTTCATATAGATGATTATGGAATCAAACTTTTCCCGAAAAATAATCTGACAACGTAGCTTGTGACGTACGTATTGCATCATGTCACAGCCCAGATATCCGACTACGTAAATTGATACGAGCTTATTAGCTATACACGATAGTCTCATGCGTCGTCTCTTATTACAGTACATCGTTAGTTAGACGTTCTTCATATATTTCGACTGGCGTCTTCTATATTCATTAGCGCATATTGTAAACGGTGTGATATTAATAACCTACCAAAGATTAGCTATCTGTGTGTGATGGGGGCATAATTGACCTACTTCTCTGTTTCGTAGTAGGAAAAGTAATGAACTAACATAATGAGATATTACAAAAACTGCAGGTGGAACTGATATAGTAAAAAAAAAAACATTCAAAGGTTTTTGTACAAGAATAAAATCGTGTTTTTATTGAATTACCTTTTTTTCTTAGTCGTTTAGCTTTCCTTTTGTAAGGATTAACGCAATTTAGTCAAACATGCCGCATCCAGGTATCCTTTTAATTCGGTTTCTAGTATAATTTGTAGAATGCTTGGAAAAAAATGAAAAAAAATTTAGTACGAATGAGCCCATAAGGCGATTGTTTAATATGGTAACGCTAGTTCATTAAAGTAAGATTGTTTTTCTATGTCTTAAATATTAAACTGCCATTTTGCAAGGCTTCGTCACTTTAACTGACTTTTTGTAAAGTAACATATTTTATAATTTTGAGTGTTTAATATAAGTTAACTGACATTATTTGATAACACTGCTATTAAATGGTTTTGCGTGTTCCATTTATTTTATTTATTAATAGTATATCTATAAATACTTTGTTAACAACGAAGTTGACGAGGGTGGTGTGTGTATAAAAACAACCATCATATATGTATAAAAAATATATAAGAACCTATTAAAGCATGTATAAAATTATAAAAAGAAGTAAGCCCAGCTGTTCTTAACATTTTATTAAAGTTATAATTATTAAATTGTCTTTTATGAATGAAAATAAATCATTATTAATTAAAATGCACGCAATATCGGCTTTCTATAACGGTTTTAGCTCATATCTTTTAATTCCTCTCATAAATTATTATCCAATTATTGTTGTTGAATATTTTATTCGCAAATTTTATTTTTAAAAACTTAAAAGTCTCAGCATCTGCTGCTCGAACAGTTGTTTTTTTTAATTATTCGCTAGATATCAGTGAACTTTAGACTGTAAACGAAAATGTTTAGGTTATTTTATTAATATAATATAACTGAGGCTTTGTTTCATGTCTTCAAGAAACAATCTAAGCTCTTTTATCTCATGACAAATGAGAAAAAACAACCTTGTCGCCCCACTGTTGACACGAATGGGACAATATCACTTGTCCACTCGTAATCTAAGTACGAAATATTGTGTCCGCCAGTTGGCCACTTTGATCCTCTTCCCTTGACATTAGCCTGTTGTTTTGCTTCCCGGACGCGTCACAACGAGAGTTAACTGGTATTGCGGACAATTTGTACCTGTTCACTCGACCACAGACGAATGATTGTATAGGTACACGTTGACCATTAATCTATGTACAGAATTCATCATTGAAACTACAAATATGTTGTCTTCATACTTAACATTTGGAGCTATTTTTACTGTGGTAAGCCTGTGAGATGTCTGTAGCATCTTCATAAAGGTTCCTAACGTAATTCACCCTTCCAAATTGTTTGCCAAGAAAATAAATAAATTCCAATACACTAGTTTTAATTTATTAAATTCAGTTTGGACGAAATTAAATAAATTAAGTAATAGATAATCTTTTGAAGCTAACGAGTTATAAACTTAACGGAAAATTGATTGTTCTAATAAAAAACATATCTCTGAATACTATTTATTCATCCTTATTTTAAAGGTAACAAAATAGAAAATTGAAAAAGTTTTAACTGGAATAAGAAGAAAAAAATCCCATCTCGAGTTACTTGAAGCTGGTGAATTTTTTAAGCAACTTTCTTTGAGATATTTATCACTATGGTATTATGGATGCGAATTTGATCTATATAATAAAACAATAACTTTTTTTTATTACTTATTTCAGTTTCACTGTTTCAGATTTCTATCATATGAGAGCTTTATCTGCTTAATTCGGAACCTGTGCAATATTTATTTATTCATATTTATAATAAAAATCAATCCAGCATTCTGTTTTACATATTAAAAAAAAGGTATTTCCAAGACGATTTCTTGTAAGATAAGCAATAACTCTTATTAATATTACGGCGCACAATATTAAAAAAAAAACAACAAAAAAGTTGGTTTCATGAATAATTCAGGCAAAGCTTACTCATTGCTATCGATCGTACCTAAACTATATTACACAATACTTTCATAGGAAACTTTTCACGGTTTTGTCGCAGACAGACAATGAGAAAGGAAAATTATTTGAACTGCTAGACTCGCTTTCTTTGTAGTGAACATGGCCTCGAGGTATACATATATATTTGATTGTAAAACACCAGCAAAACAAAAATACTAATAAATAAAAAGTTTGACCTACAAGGTTAATTATAATTCAAGTTTGAACTTTATTTATTTTTCATGTTTTGAATATAGGGCATAAAAAAATCTTGATCTAGGTGTCATTCATTAATGAAAAGACGACGCATATTAGGGGAAAGGAGGGAAAGATGGAAGGGCTAACTTTGTGCAGTAATAAATAGAAATGTGCTTGGCTTAAGTCTCTCATTTAAATCAGACGTTTTTGTAATATTTTCGTATCAAATAAAAACATAGCTTCTACATTTTAATGGTACACGTGAATCGGACTAAATATCGTTAGTAAATCGCATACAACTACGTGTCTCTCTGTGTGTAGCACTCGCTATAAATTCCATATTTCGACTATTATAAGAAGTTTCCATTTTGACTAATTCTTTCATCTTTCCTCCTTTCCCCTACTTTCTCGCTGTGCTTTTCAGAAGCATATTCATATGAAGGTGCTTCACAGAAGCCCAGCGCGCAAGTAATATGTAATATTAGATACTAAACTAAGTTATTACATTCGCGCTATTAATTCAATATGCTTTGTTCGTGTTCCAAGAACTTAATAATTTGAGATAACTGACTTATTGTATTGACATTTTGCACGTCTGCAATATACTACAATTACATTTGAATCAATTTAAATCTTCTATTAAAAATACTATGAGTAGATAAGAAGGTTTATTATGAGGTAACTTGGACTTAAGGTATTCCGTTTCAGCCATTTTTGGTAGGTATTTCTTTTATAGTTATTTTTAGAAACCATTGCAGAATTTATTATGTTAACATTGTTAGGTCAAAGAATTTTGTTTTATTCTTTGTCTTTTGATATTTTAATCTGAGGTGATACCCTCATAAATTAATGAATGAAATACTCTTTATTGTACACACCATAAGTGAATGAACAAATATATAGTAATCTAACAAAATAGTACAATTGGCGGCCTTATTGCTAAAAAGCAATTTCTTCCAGGCAACCTTAACATAGCATACAGGATACAGTTGGAAAAATTGGGTAGACTATGGTGCATTAAGTAGTCTACAGGTATACCATAACATAACAAAACATTAATGGTTGAGCAGGAAAAATTGTTAATTAAATCAGTTGTTAATTTATGAAATCAGTTGTTGCTGACATCTGATTAATTTAGAGCAAAATATTTTTTTATGTAATTCTGGTGTTACTTATAGTATTCGCCATGTAGTCCTTCGAGGTTATATTGGCAATATTAAATCTTTGATTGAAAAAAATATTGCTGTAAATTCAAGTATATTTCATATTTTGAGAAACTTCTTTCATTCATTATAAAAGTATCCGTTTTTGCCTGCCTTTTTTTCTGACACGAAGAGATGGTGCCAAAATCTATTAATTCCAATGTAACAAGGTGTGACTTATTCTAATTATTTAAATATAACTTTTAATTTAAAGATATCAGTCCCAGTCTAGCGATTACGGTTACGGCAGGCATGAGGTATGATATTGAATTAGGATAAAGTTTCAAATCTCGTTAATATATTATGGCTTACTTCCTAACTTATCATAAGAGTTCAGCGAGAATGGTTATTATATAATAGTCGTTTTTATTCTAGAATTTTCTGATGTATAACTTGACCTTAAAGTTTATTTTGCGCAAAGCACACACAACAAACACGAAATTCTGTTCCACATTCAAGAATTTTTACGGTTATTATACTATGCCATGTCAATGTAACTCACAACCTTCATATGCCGACTATACGAATGGAGTCTTTAGTATTCCTTTAAACGGTCTTATCAATTCATTAGTTCTGACATACAGGTATAATTGAATGGAGGTAAAATAGAGCATCTCCTTTACGTAATAAAGATGATTTTACTATAACTCATGTTTGCAATTTTCACGTCGAAGCAGACGACAATTTAAACTATTCAAACCCAGTTGCAACTCGTATTAAATATTAACTGGCAACAATATTATTGTAAGACACGTATCAAGGTATCGGTCTAAATTCAAGTTATCATCAAAGTAATTTTAAAAGCATAAAAAATAAAAAGAAAATTACTTACACCAAGAAATTTGATACCGATGATACTCCTTAAAATTCACTATAGTTAAAACATCGTTATTATCCTGTAAAGCACTCCACAGCACTAAGGTCAAGGCACTAGATTTGTTAATCGCGTGACAAAGTTTTTATTAAAATAATAGTATTTGGTGTTAGGCGCGATCGGGACGGCCCCCGCGGTTGTTTTAACTGAAAACTCGTAGTATAGCGGGTTGCGTGCTTTGCCCGATGGTCTACACCCACCGCCCGCTTTGCCAGAGTTTCATAACCTTTTCATGCTATCCAAACCGAGGTTGATGCAATAAATTTCATACTATGATAAATTTGATAGTTTTATTTACACATTACCCTATAAGAGATAAACAATACATACAATATGATTAGGTATGTATTGTTTATCTCTAATAGGGTTGTATCCTACATTTGAAAATACAAATTACCGTTATATGTTCGGAAAATATGAAACATTTTGACTTATAAATATATAAAAAAATGAATTTTATGGCACTAATTTGGAAAATATATTACAAAAATTTACTAAAATGCATATGGAATTAAATTAATTACATAAAACGTAACAACTTTCATTATAACAACTATAAACATAAACGCACAAATAACAAAGATTGCTCAGACCCCCATATGTTTTTCACTACCATACCTCTGTGTGATGTCACTTAAAGGCTTGAATTTGTAGGGAGCATTTTTGGCTGACTAGCAGCAGTTACACAAACATAGCACCGTATCTATAAAATTATTATCGCAGATATGCTTGGTTACTTCTACATTATTTCTCATATATTAATGGACTATATATTTATAAAATAAAACTAGCTAGATTTAATATTTTATCATAGAATGTCATGTTTTGTTTTTATTTGTCTTTGTGTCTTACTTGCATTTTTGGTTGTCTAACGTAATAAATACATAAATTAGATTTTTTATACATTGAATTTTTTAAAATGTTGAGTACTTCTTCTTTACGAATAATCGACTGTGACTGCACGACATGCGACTACGGCATCACGGCGACATTTCTAGACAGCACCTATATTAGTTAGCTATTGAACTTATTGTGTGGTAATATAATTATATCACACTTACGATGGGAAAGAAATTATTCGACAATTTCATCACGTTTCCATTGTTTCCATAAAAAGCATCTTTGAGCTGCTCTTATTAAGTTGCATATTTAACTTCAAATTAATATGTTTAGTTATCCTTCATACAGTTACAATTCTAGTAGATTAGATCACTCGTTTAAATTCAGTGAAAGTATAATAAATTGCCAAATCGTTTATATTTGGTTTAACTAATCCACGTAATACCTTAATTAGTCTTTGAAATTGAAAAATGTTGAGAACCCCAGACCCAAGGAACGGTTAACAGTTAGTAATATGGTATGCCACTGCGGTACCGTGACGTCTGGACTTGAGCGTCACATGGTATGTTATACCAACCACATTGACCTTGGGTCATGGGACTATACTAATATATGTGCATAGATTAAGTATAACGCCACTAGTGTTTTTTTTATAAAATAAATAGTATATATCTCCGTGGCCGAATGGCCACTTTAAGATGTCGCTATTTCTGTGATCTCGGATTTGATTCCTAATCGTGTCAATATGTTGTACCTTTGTTATTTCAGATGTCTATAATACAAGGAATTTTGATACTTAATCTCATATTTTATTTATATTTATTTTATTTAACATTTTATTGCACAAGACATTGTAAGGTACAAAAAATAAATTATATTAATTACAGTTGTACAATAATGTACTTTGATCCGATTTTAACTACAATTTACATCACGTTACAGAAAACTTACTGTTACTGTACTTTTGAACCTTAAGCCACTGTAGGTAGCATTTAAAATCGAGTAAAATTTTCCATATGGTAACATTCTGCCGTGTACGTATACCATATGAAATGAAGACAGATAAAATTATTTTTCAGTCAGAAATCAGGTGGGAATGAAATTTATGCCCAAAGAAATAAAACACGTTATGGATCAATGGGCATACAAGCTGTCGATTTAGATCTCATTAAGGACAAATAAACTCTTGACTTTGCTCCCTCGCTTGCTATCAAAAAACACAATACCTGCTATTAAATAGCATGCAGCTGTTGCATGCCACCGCTACTAGACAGATATTGTAGTTGATATCATAAACGAGAGTCCATATAAAGGTCAATTGAAACGAAATGAAATCGTGAAGTCAGGCAATAAGTCGGATAAAGATAAATGATGACCTGTCACTTCAAATAAAAAATAATAATTACCCGAATACCTTTATGATTATGGTCCCACTGTGAGGGTACAGGCCATCCCAATAATGGAATCGAATCGAAATAACTTATGGGCCAAGAGGCATGGAGATGTGGGCCGAATGTAAATTGGTAAGTGTTATCGACTGCAATGCTATCGAGATCAATGATTTAACACACTTTTGAAGCATGGTATTTATTAATAACTTTATCACCCATTCTATAACCGGCCCTTGCGAAAATTGCTTTAGAACCGTATCGTCAAACGAACGCGTTAAACTACTCTGTCGTTGAGGTCCTCTAATATTAAGTACTTCGTCATCATTTGCTTGCGCTCGGCCAAATAACATATTTTACTTGAGGTCGATGCAATATTATTATAGAGGTAAGTATAATACTTCACGAGCAGCTGTTACACACATCTCCTTTGTTAAACTTTACATCATTCACAAAGTCCATGTTTAATTTTTTCTCGTCTCATAAAGTATAAAAATACTTTAGTTGCAACAGCATATCGAGAATACTTGTACAGCCTTGGTTACTGCGATTTAAACTAAAATAATAAAATACAAACAAACAACATGCAAAATTATTCATACCATGTCCTTGTACCTCTAAAGTATATATACTCAGTCACCTCTATGGCTTGATCGCCGGATTTATAGTATTATTATCTCCTAGATGTTCCAGGATACGATTCTTAGTTATGTCAAAATACATTATATATTTTTTTTGGTTATTACATCTATATTTGATCCATTGCGCATTCACAGCGCTGTACTGAAAAATATTATTCATGAAAAAATTGTGAATTGTAAATTCGAATCCCATCTCAGGGTGCCTGGGACCAAGTGGATTTTTTAAGTATTTTTCATTAAGAATATTTTGTAATGTCTTATGGACGGACCTTTTGTTTAAAAATAATCGTTTCCGTTATTCAGAACTAACCGTTTTCCCGCGATTTTGTCCACGTAAATTGTAGCATGTTACCCGCGTAATGATGAGGCTTCCTGTAGGAGAAATAAATTTTAAAATCAATCCTGTATTTTCCGATCCTTTTCCCCTTTTTAAAGTTAATATATACATGGATGTAAAATTAAATTCCAATGTCATTAAAAAATAGGTAGTCGTGACAAGTTTAAAATTTAATTAAAAGGTTCCACTATTGTGTAATTACTAACAGCAAGAAAAACAGACAACAGCTGATAATGATTTCAAATTAATGAATTGATATAATTTTAATTGTAAACGTCAGTTATTATTGTGAGAATGTAAAATTTATTAAATCTACTAGCTGAAACTCGAACAATAATTGTTTTATCAAAAGTAGTGTGCGCGGAAATTAAGAATTCGAGTAATTACACCCTTTTTTATAGAGCAAATCGATAAATATGTGAGTCACTTTATAGCCGAGAACTCAGCTATTTTATAAAAACCGTAATAGCTTGGCCGTAACCGTAATGGCTTGCAAGATTTAATGTAAAATAGTTTTTGATGCGCAATTAGCTATTTCTTGTCCCTAAATATATCTTTGACAGGCGCGTTGATTACATTTCGTTTTCAATGTTGACTATCAGTTAGCCAGCTTATAATTTAGTTGTTTTACGGACATCAGATAGTATAGAGTTCACTGATATATTTAATTTTTATACATGAATAATAAATTATTTTTGTCAATTTGATTGTGAAAGTGTTTTTGACAGATTTTTTTGTATTGTTACTTGCGTATCACTTAAAACACATGCGTTAAGGAAACTAATAATTTATATAGGTTAAATTATAGTTCTGTTCAAATACGAGTTCTATTTAAATAAATTAGATCTTTGATCTCACATATAATAACTTACGTACGGTGAAAATAATTAGCTTAAACTTACTCATTTGGTCTCATTACCGAGATGCTTAGTACTTAAAAGTTTAACGTCTTCACGTTGCGCTAATGACGATACTCTAATAAATGTAATAATTAACACTTTCTTTATAAAACAAAAAGGTTTTGATAAGATTCTATACTTTTATGAATGTAAGCTTGAGATATAGAGCTATTTTCACAAATAAGTAAATGCTCTTTAAGATACTAAGTTGTACAAATCTGTCAAAGGAGAATTTCCATTTTATAAGAGCACAAATAGCCACCTATAAATAGTTTGCCCTTTTGAAATATTTAGAAATAACACTTCAAATATTTCAGTTATTAATTTTCATTAAATAGGTAGCATCAATTTTTATGAGTTATATATTTTTTATTATTATAAAATATTGAAATTGACGCCAAAAATAACTAACCTGACTTTTTATACTGTCCAATTTTTATATGAAATTCGACTAGTTTTTGATATTACTCTGTCAATACACACTCATGGCTCACACTGATCTACTCACCGGAATATTCTGTGCCGGGAGTATACATGGTCGGGTGATTCGGTTTTGTTATGATTAACTACTTAGATTATTTTTGTTGCGAATAGTTTTGGTATTCTAATGAATTGGTACTTCCCAAACCAAATAACTCGACTTGAAGTTTGTTACAGAATATTTCTGTAGAAGAACTTTTTAAGTGTTGATGAAACGCACTAATTTTCAAAAGAAAACTATCTTGAAAAAGTGTATTTGGTATTCAAATGATGTAATAATATCTTGTTTAAATAAATATTGATCTCTGAAGTTTAATTCTTCAAAGTTTTGAATTGTCAATTTTTCGGCTAAAAACTTATAATTTTTCACAAAGAACGTTGTTCTTGTAAAGATTAATTGTGAAAGTTCTCCGTTGAGCCCTTGGCTATAAAGTGTCATACATATTTATCAATTGTGATAAAAAGAGTATAATTACGATAAGATGTACAATGAGCAAATGGTCCAATCCAAGTAATGTATCACTCTGTGTGATAATACTTGGACCAAACTCCATACTAAAGTG